AACACATTTTTTCACAAAAAAAATCGTTAGACAAACAGGTGAATTTAAAGGCATGTTAGGACAGCTTTTCAACATCAACATTTTAAAAAAATGTATTATTCCCTATAGGAAAAATGTACACAACCATTGATAAATCTAACCTTAAACATCACAACCTTTTAAGATGCATGATATGCCTAAAAAGATTCACAAAACCATTGCTAAAGTCTACGATATATCATATTTCAGAAAAGTATTTTGCCATAAAAAAAATGTACAACGATATGCACAAACCTATGTTTACGATATCATTGTCTAGTATTTTTTTTATTCATACAAATTTTATTCACATACAGTGAATGGGATTGGGCAGCAGGCAAAGCCTATTTTAGCCCTCTCCCTACAAGGTCAAGATCAACACACAATACATTGTATATAGGTATGAAAATAAATAGACAAACATAGTAACAAAGAAATAAGAAAAAAGAGTAGAGAAAAAAGTCACAATGTAACAAAGAAAAAAAAAAGACAAAAAAAAAATTACAATGTATTACGGGGTAGTAAGTGTTGGCATAAGTAACATACATGACAGTGTCAAATAAAAAGTTAGGTTGCTGCAATGAAAGCATGTACTACTTCAAGTTCATGAATAATATTTTTGGAGTGTTTGGAAAAGTACATTTCTTGGACAATCAAAGAAATAGTGATGAGCATCTTCAACAGTGTCAAATAAAACGTTAGGTTGCTGCAATGAAATAATGTACTGCTTCCAATATTTGAATATTAATACCTATTCCATGATTGGGACTACCATGCAAAAATAAATCAATTTCATAAATAATATTTTGGATTGTTTGGAAAAGTACATTTCTTGGTGAGATATAGCGATGAGCTTCTTCAACAGAGTCATTATTTACACATTGGTGTTTCTGATAAACATTGGTTATATTAGTCTGCCTTTAAATTACTTGCATTATTTTGCCACTGACATTGTATTTTATTGCATTTTCTTATTCAAAAATGATAAATTTCTTTACCTTTTTTTTTTACAAAAATAAAAATTTAAGAGACCTTTGAATGAAGGTATTCAAGGAGCATTCCTGATATAATCAAGCAAGTTTAACATATTCCACAGTTTACCATTTATTGCAAAGAAACTTTCCATATATGATGTAGTTTCATCATTATTTCTAAGATTATAGGAGTGCATTGAAGGACGAAAAGTTTCAATCATTTTCTAGAATGTTGGGTATGTCAGGGTAGGGCGAAGCATAGCCTACTTTCTAGACAGTGGTGACTTATAATTATATTTTTCCTATTATATATGTTTCCTGCAGTTTTTGTTTCATTGTGAATGAAAATTGTATTGTAAATTTAGATTTTAAATGTTGTCTAATAGATGAAAATTATAAGAGGCCTCCCATGTCCACTTCAATAGACCCGGCCACTGACGTCAGACACAAAGACAGCCATACGATATATACATGCATATTCGGCTTAGCTTTGCTCCTGGTCATTTGCTGTGCGAAAGTTAAGATTCCGGTAGAATTATCAAGAAATCTACTCACCTAAACTTTAAAAGATTAATTAGAGAGATCAAAAGGAAACTTATCAAAATTTTACAATAAAGTTTCCCTATAAAAAATCGTCATGTTACAAGTACATATATAAGAAATAGGGTATCATTTTAAAACTTTTATAGTCGATTTGATCATATGACAAAAACGTTATGTTTATTTACATTTTGATAAAATCTAATTCCCTCTATTAACATATGCGTCTGATTTATGACAAAAAATATGTTGATTTACTTTTTGCGCAGATTTTGAGGTCCACACAGTAAATATATATAAAAGCAAGGTAAAACCGGCTGCCATGGGCAAATGTCAGGCATGCAGGAGAATGCTAGAGAGTTCGCCCCTAAAACTTGCCCATAAATAATTCGTCCTATTCCAAAAGGAACATGTCATGCATTGGCAAATCTCGTTTTTAAATCTGCATATCATATTTTTATATAGATTCATTTTGGCGGATCCGAATTTCTCTCATATATATACACTTTCACATACAAATTAAACATTGATTCTATGGCACAAGCATTTTAAAATGTGAAAAGAACTTGCAGTATATAGATTATCAACTTGAATTTAAAATTTCAATCAACGACTAGATTAACCTTTCAAAAGAGATAAAACAAGTCTTCACCGGCATTAGTTATATGTATCAAGGCTTGCAAAATAATTTGAAATTCAGCAATTCAAATAAAAAGTGCTACATGTGTACCATCAGATCTATTTTCCAATGATAGTTTTCTTCCGCATAAATCCAGAACAGATGTCAAGTCCTAGCAGGTATGGATTACGTTTTAAATTGAAATAGCCCGGTGTTTTTTTAAATACTTGTTTAAACATCAACAGTATAAATTCAATGTGTTGAATACGTTGCCTTCTTTTGACATTGATCTCACTATGAGTTGTTAATACAAAGGCTGAAATATGCATAATTAATTAAACTATGTTATGCAGGGGAAAAATTTCCATGCATTATACTTTCATGTAAATTTGTTGAATTTGATACATTGCGAAACATTTATTTAAAAAAAATCAGTAATACACGCTGAAAAATGAAGCCACGACCTCCATCTTAGCAACAGTCAACATTGCTTTACATGTGATGTTGACTGTTCAGAATTTATGCACACAAGGATCGCTGCATTTAAAACATTCAGTGTCACTTAATAAACATTGCATGTAGCTGAGTGTAACATTGAAAATTTCCGTCCCTCTGAAACCTTCTTCGACCTCTACTGCACCTAACTTGGTTTAAAATGTTTTTGGGGGTGAAAATTGTCAACTACATGTAATATTTATACATGTATAATGTAAACACATACATACAGACCACACATAATGACATTAACTTCAGAACAACAAAATTTTACTTTTGCATTATGTCTCTAGAAGTTAATGTAACCATGTCAGACATAACTGTGTAATCATCATAAATTCAATGATTAAATATTAGTCAGAATGGTTGGTCCTGAAGTTATATGACCTTCCAGTAATGCTTATTCTGAAGACTAAAGAGCTTTCTTGTCTTATAGAGTATCTTATAGATATTTCATATATATATTTCCTGATCAAAGCACTCGAGTCATTGGAGAAGTTTGGCGAACTTCCTAAATTTGACTAGTTGTTATATCCAGTTCTTGTTCCTCCTCTTCAATATTGATTTTTGTTGATTGATATACGTTAATTTTTATTATGCAATAGTTAAGGCTCAATCTGCACCAGTCTTTCTTCTACAAAAGTAAAAACAAATCATCTAGATCTGACATTCATCATGTTGTTTCTACAAATATAATTTTGTACAAACTCACTCTCCAAAATTATTTTAATTAATTGTTTCCTGCAGTTAAGTACAGATTTAATTATGATCAATTGCAACCTTGTACAGATTAATTATCAAGTGTGCAATGAGATACCAATTAAGTCCATCCTAATTTTTATGTCTTTTCGTAGTCTGTACTTGAACATGCTATACATGTTATTAGCAAATTCGTACAAAGTTACATAAAATCAGATCACTTTTGTAGCTTCAAGGTCCTGAGCAAAGGCCCTGAGTGCCGAGCATAGGACAAAAATTTGTAGCCCTCCATCGGCAAGTGGTGGCATCTTCATACGAGTGAAAAATTCTCGAGAGGGACGTTCAACAACATACAATCTTAATCTTTATTATCAATAAAGCCTTGCCCTTATACCAGAACCTCTGACCTACAGGTCCAGAAATTCACAATTTTTGATGAGGCAGCCTTATTCAACATAACTATGTATATATGCTTGATATTTTTTTTTAACATGTTTAAGAGTAAGTGTTTTTCATTTTATTCTAGTAATCAAAGGAGCCCCACCCTAAGCCCAGAACCATGGACCCATTGCCCTTGAAATTAATAATTTTGGAAGAGACATTAGTGATGGAGCGTTCGCTTCACGATTGGGAGGCCCGGGTTCGATTCTCGATCGTGGTGCCGCGTCAAACCTAAGACGTAAAAATAGGCAGTAACTGTTCCTTTGCCAAGCCCTCGGCATCAGAAGTAAAAGTCACAGGTTTTCAAGCGTAGGTCCTGTGTCACGGTAGGCGCTTGCACGATAGAGAACCCTCACTGCTCAATGGTCCTAAGTGCCAAGTATAGGTCTAAATTTGAAGCCCTTCACCGACATACGGTGACGTCTCCATATGAGTGAATAATTCTCAAGAGGAACGTTAAACAATATACAATCAATTAATTTTGCTCATCATAAATATGTACCTAGTTAGTTTGTTTGATACCCAGGAGCAGAGAAGATTTTCAAACAAATGATGTATTTAACTGTTTAATCAACTCGTCCTAACATCAGAAAACCTGACCTGGGGGCCATGAAATTCACAAAGGCAATAAATGTGCAATTTATGGTGCAAGATTTTTTGTGCAATTTTAGATCCCTAATTTGAGACACAGTCCTTAACCAATCTATATTTATTATGAACCTCAAAACTCTTTATAGTGGTTCTCTGGTTCTCTCCATGTGATAAACCCCGTGGGGATCCGGGTTAGAATAGGTCCGCAGAACCCCCTTGCTTGTCGTAAAAGGCGACTAAATGGGGAGGTCCTTCGGATGAGACCGTATAAACCGAGGCCCCGTGTCACAGCAGGTGTGGCACGATAAAGATCCCTCCCTGCTCAATGGCCCTGAGTGCCGAGCATAGGCCTAAATTTGCAGCCCTTCACCGGCAATGGTGACGTCTCCATATCAGTGAAATATTCTGGAGAGGGACGTTAAACAGTATACAATCAATCAATCAATCCATGTGATAAACTCGCTGTTTTGAATGTTCAGTAATCCAACAGACAATTCATTTCAAACGAGTTTATTGCATGTATAGATGGCTATGAAGGGTTGGGACGTGGATAAAAAATACAGACAGGTTTAAGAATGTGTCTCGAATTAGGAAGAGAAAATATAGAGCATAAAATTCCACGACTGATCGAATCTGGGTCAAACTTAGCATTGAATTCTGGGAGTTGCTTTGCAATCTCACATGATCTCGATACTGACGTATGCTGATGGAGAATTGCACATTTTTTGCATAACAGGATCTGCAGCGTTATGGTCAAAGACTAATACAAAATACGATAAGACAAGATTTCTGCAGCTAGAGGACTAACATATTGAAAAATTGTTTACAGCCAGGTGTACAGACAGCTAAACTTATATGGACAAACACATGAAGGACACTTAGGCAGGGTAGAGATAAAAATAAATGCATTTCAACTAATCAGTAATATACTGCAGCAATAATCAGTAGTGCCCCTACCGCATGAACCCGCGACCGTAAGTCCACACATTGCACAATTTTTTAAAAGGCACTTTTGCTTATCAAATGTTTTATTAATACCAAGGATCAGACTTCAAACAATTTAGTGAATTTTCACTATATAATTAAACAATACAGCCCCCAACCCATAACACCAGAACCTCTGATCCTGGGGCCATAAAATTCACAATTTTGGTAGAGACAGTCTAGCTCATCATAACTAAGTATGAACTTAGTTTATTTAATATCTAGGAGCAGAGAAGAAAACTTTCAAAGAATTAATGCATTTTCACTATAATCAATAGAGCCCCACCCTAACACCGGAACCCCTGATCCTGTGGCAATGAGATTCACAATTTTGGTAGAGGCAATCTTGCTTATCATAACTACATGTATGTCCTTAGTTAGTTTATCTAATACCTAGGAGCAGAGAAAAACAATTTCAAAGAATTAATGTATTTTCACTATATAATCCATGGAGCCCCGCCCTAATACCAGAACCCCTGAGCCTGAGGCCATATAATTCACAACTTTGGTACATGTAGATGCAGTCCTGCTAATCATGACTATGAACTTATTTCATGGTTTATCTAAAACAAGTACCTAGGAGCAGATAAGAAAATTTCCGAAGAAAAAATGCATTTTTCACTATATACACTGTAATCTATATAGCCCTGACCTAGCACTAGAAACCCTGACCCTAGGGCCAAGAATTTCATAATTTTGGTAGAGGACTCAAGGCTCATTATATTCATGCCAAGAGTTTGACTGCCTGATGTTCAGAAGTAAAGATGAAGATTTTAAAAGATTTCATTAAAGAATGTTTCGACTTAAGCATAGTGCCGTGGCCCCTTTTTTTGACCCCTATAACTTTATCTAATTAACTCAAATCTTAAAGATTTTAAACCTAACCGATATTTTGTTATCAGTGTGGTACATGACTTGCAAAAATTTTCATTGAAAACCACGCCTTAGTTTTATTTAAGGTAATTAAAAAAGCCCTCTAGTGGAAGTTAATTCCGGAATGTTGCGCTTGTCCGAGTTGGGTTTTAATTGTGTTACATTAATATTCGGAGCAGGCGGGGCATTTTACACTGTCGCAAACCACGGCCAAAATATACGATCCTCTCCCATTCTGGCTGTGGTTGAACGAGGAGAGAATTCTTCGTAGGTCATTAAAAAATTGACCAATGCGAGTAAAGCATAGTCGGAAGATGAACATTATCGCGACCTTTCAATATCCAATCGCAGTAAAGGGAATATTTCTTGTATACTGTTGACGTCAGTTGTTGATTTCAATTGCGATGGAAACAAAACTTGCCGCTGACTGAAAATGACGTCACAATAGAGAGGCGTAAATATTCACGATTACGACACTTTTTGTGATCAAGCAGCCACGGGTAGGAGATAGATATTTGCGGACTCCGGACCGTGGCTTGAGACGATGGGCATTTTATCGATCGATTGAAAACATGTATGAACAGCCAGTTATAACGGCTACAAAATATACAGAAAAGTAAACACAAAGAACTTAATTCTCAAACTTTACGTCAACTCCAATATAAGGGTATGTAGTCCCTATGCGGAAGCTTTATTTACAAAAGTAGTAATTCGGTTCTACTGTCGACCGGGGACAGTTGACAGTTGACATTTAACCATTTCTACTGTCGACCGGGGACAGTTGACAGTTGACATTTAGCCATTTCTACTGTCTTAGATATGTGTGATTAGGATTAGTCTCGCATACATAAGTGTGATAAGGGATAGTCCCTCATTTATAACTGTGATTAGGGTTAGTCTCGCATTCATAAGTGTGATTAGGGCTAGTCTAGTATTAAAAGCTGTGATTAAGTTTAGTCTCGCATTAATAGCTGTGATTAAGGTTAGTCTCGCATTTATAGCTGTAAATAGGGTAAGTCTCGTATTAAAAGCTCTGATTAGGGTTAGTCTCGTATAAATAACTACGGTTAGTGTCAGTTTTGCATTTATAGCTGTGATTAGGGTTAGTTTCGCATTTATAGCTGTGATTAGGGTTAGTTTCACATTTATAAGCTGTGATTGGGGTTAGTGTCCCCAGTCGACAGTTGATTATATGGAAAGTGTCGACTGTCAACCGTCGACCTGTCTTCGGTTGACACTAGAACGCAAGGGAAGTGTCAACTGTCAACCGTCGACCTATCCCCGGTCGACACTAGAACACAAGAGAAGTGTCAACTGTCAATCGTAAACCTGTCCCCAGTCGACAGTAGATCATATGGAAAGTGTCAACTGTCAACCGTCGACCTGTCTCCGGTCGACACTAGAACACAAGGGAAGTGTCAACTGTCAACCGTCAACCTATCCCCCGTCGACACTAGAACACAAGAGAAGTGTCAACTGTCAACCTGTCCTCAGTTGACAGTAGATCATATGGAAAGTGTCAACTGTCAACTGTCGACCTGTCCCTGGTCGACACTAGAACACAAGGGAAGTGTCAACTGTCAACCTGTCCCTGGTCGACACTACAACATATGTGAAGTTTTAACTGTCAACCGTCAACCTGTCCCTGGTCGACACAAGAACACATTCGAAGTGTCAACTGTCAACTTGTCCCCGGTCGACACTAGAACACAAGGGAAGTGTCAACTGTCAACCATCAACTTGTCCCCGGTTGACACTAGATCACAAGGGAATTGTCAACTGTCAACCGTCAACCTATTTCTGGTCGACAGTAAATTCATGTGTGGAATGTAGAAATAATACACTCCATAACATTACTTAAATATGCAGTGATGTATGAATATTGTTAGTATTGTTTCAGTCAAAGTACTACTTTATCCTTATATTGGAGTTGCCTCTACTGGGACCTGAGGGGTGGGGCGAAACCCACTAAAGAATGATTGCACTTAGTGTACAAAAAGTGGCCCCCGGTAAATTGCGCAAAAATAAAGTATAGAAAGTAGCCTAATGAGATTGATAATGCAATTCTTCTAGGTCTTAATCGCAACTTTGCAAAATTACAGGAATTAAAAGAAAGTAAAAATAAAGAACGAGACTGTGTTTTGTAAGAGGGGTCAAAGCAATTCATAAATTTCCATTGTTATTCAAAGTTATTCCGATCTTTAAACCTGGAATACATGGTGAGCGCATTCTTGCCCAAATTTCTCAAAAGGACATAAGGTGTAGAAATGTTGGAAATACAACATATTTAAAGGAAAATTTTGGGCAAGCCTGTGCTCGGGGTAAACTTTTTGAAAAAAGGTACAAAACGCCGACTGTTTTCTTTGCTATTTACGGGTATTTACATGTCATTGACCTCATTATGACCTGTTTAGTATTCCAATATATCGTGATTTGTAGGCGCAGGTAACTTTGTGAATACAAAAAAATCAATGAACCACGTGGCAGTAGCTCCGATTGATAAATTATCGAAAAGGGACCAATTTATACCGTTACATGTACATTTTCAATTAATCAACATCGAATTCTTTTTAACGGCTTATTATTTTTTATAGAGTAATGGAATATAAAATTGAAAAAATGTTATGATATTTCAGTTATTGTAGTCCTTGGATTTAGGGGGCATGTTTGAAGGTTCAAAGAATTTCAAAGTGATTTAGTCCCAATTGTTGCAATACCATCATTCCTCAAAGTGTTTTTACTGTAAAAATATATTATATGCACACAGGGTATAGAAGAACATAGATGGTTTAACACTGGAATGCTTTCTGGGACACATACCCCCCCCCCCCTCTCCCAACAATAAAAAAAAGCAAAAAAAAAAAAAAAACTAAACCAAAAAAAAAACAAACAAACAAACAATGACACATACAATTAATTAAATTGTTTTAGTATTAAAATATCACCACAGGCAGCATCACAACAACAACAAAAATTCTGTACATCATTATATGTACTAATGTACATTAAGTATTTACTGTACTTTTAAAACTACCGAGAGAGACTCAGAGAGAGAGAGAGAGAGAGAGATAGAGAGAGAGAGAGAGTTAATCAATTCGATATGGCACTAATCATGCTAATCTTTCAGAAAATACAAAAGAAAATTTTTTCATCAAAGGGATTTTATTCCGTTTTCATTTACAAACTTGTATGCTTCCTTTATCAGTTTAAGTGTAAAATTTTCAGCAAGAAAGGACTAAAATTAAGGGGAAAATCTGTATTTATGGAGGGAGTACATGTACATCCCCATGCAAGATCCCCCAGCGCCCCTCCCTCCCCCCCAAAAAATCAAACAACAAAAAATGTTTGTTCTCCTTCACCCATAGATGCTGTATAACAAATTTGGTTTAAATTGGTTCTGTGGTTTCAGAGTAGAAGCTGAAAATGTTCAAATATAAACACACAACTTTTATGATTTTCCAAAGGAAATGTATATGCTTAATAAAATACAAAAAATAAATATAGCATCACTTGCAGGGCAAATTTTGATGAAAAAGGCGCTTAAATATGACAAAATTATAAAGGAATTATAGACATTTGTGTCATTAAGAGTTATCTCTCTTATCAGAGTATCAATGTACCTTAAGTGAAGATTTTTTTCAAGACCTTATCTAATCTGCATTATTTCTTAAGTATTGCTCCTTGATATAAGTTTGCCATTCATTTGAAAAGAATTTCAATTTTTAATACCCTAATTACACAAGGATTCTCTGTGCCAAGTTTGGTAAAAATTGGTCCAGTTGTTCTATTAAGTAGAAGAAGTTGAAATTCTGAGAAGTTCACAACAATGACACATTGCTAACAACAGACAGCATAAAAATTTCGATCAGGGAAGATCGAATGAACCTATCCTCCAATCAAGCATCACAATATTTACCTGTTTTTTTATTTTTTCTTCATGAGTAGACCATTCTCTTCTACTGTTTCTAAAATATTTTATAAATTAGGAATCGGAATGTGTAAGAAAATCTAGCATTAAGTTCGAAATTTCATGAGTTAATCATTAATTCTTAAAAAATTGAAGGAAGTTTATTATAAAATGCATGCTAACTAGCAACCAATATGAAATATAATTAAATGCATTAAAGTGCAAATTAGATGAACGGGATGGGAATTAAACTGATGCCTACTGGATATTAAGTGAAAAAAACTTATGATGGGGGGGGGGGGGGTATGAGTATCTGTGTAAAATAAATAAACAAATTAATATAAATGCATGTCATGATTTTTACCTTTTTCGGTAAGGTTTTGCTCTTTAGAGTTAGCTTGACGTCTTTTCAGTAAAAAAATTACAACAGCGATTCCAGCTACAAGAAGAACTCCGAAAGTGAGTCCAATATAAAGTCCCAAGTTTATATCTTTAACATTTTCCATATCTGACCTATAAATGAAGGGAACAAAAGAGAAAACATATTAAATCATAGAGAACATATAGACATTGCATTCCTCATCACTTTAATCATAACTATTAATTGACACTAATTAATGTTCTTGATTATCAATTTATATTTTATCAAATAATTGAATTATTGAACACAAATATGTCTTTTTTTACAAGATATATGAATAAAGTCATAAATATCATTAACAGAATTTTTATACACTATATTATATTATAATAATGAAATAATTGAATCAAGATAAATTTTCTAGGATTGATGATGATTATTTTAAAGAACAGGTTTAGATACCAAAGGAAGGATAACTCTTTGAACGATAAAACTTCTAAAATGGAACACTGTGTCTGAAAGAGTTATCTCTCTTTGCATACAAGAGGTAGTGTACAGGGAGTGTCATTGAGAAAAATAAACAAAAGGACTCGGAACAAGTATAAAAGTGACACTTGTTAACTCACTCTTCAGTCATGGACATATTTTGAGTTGTAACTTTTGTGTCAGATGTAGGGACAGAGGCAACTGTAGTTGGATTCTGAACTGTGGATTTCTTTGTTAGCTCATAGCAACCGGGGTCTGAAAAACAAAATCATGACAATAATTTTTGTTTTTATCACTCAGATAATTATAATCTATGTTAAATATCAATTTACATGTACTATCTATACAGTTATAATATGCACTATGTATATATACTTCAGAATGTCTAATTTATCAAATTTGACTGATAAAAAAATTGAATTAATCATTGGCAAGGTGCCCTTACATATACCGATTGTGGTGATCAATATATTAAAGGGTAAAAGCTATATGTAACTTTATATTGCAGTTTCCCATTTAAGGATTTTTTTCAGTTTTTTTCAAGTGTTTATGATATGACTTCATTATATGCATGTACAAGTAGATACAATGTAGGTTAAGTGCATGCAAGTATTTAAATTTAAACATGCTTATGACCAATTTGGGTACAGTTGAAGTGCCAATGCAAATATTACACCCATGCTTAAACTGTGACAAAGACACCCTTCCCCTCCCCTTTCATTTTTATTTTATTTATTTATTTATTTATTTATTTATTTTTTTTTTGTAATTCAGTAAAACTAATTTCAGTTACAGAATAAAGTATACCCAGTAAAATTGTGTATTTTATTGAGCACTTACATTTGTATGCTTCTGTGGAGTGGTAGCCACTGGGACATGGACTCTGGGTAAATTTAGAACAGACTGTATCATAATTCTGCTGGATTATGTTGCCACTCAAGCTGTACTCCGTACAATAACCTGTAAATATATTGTCAAAATTAGAAGCCTGTGCATATAGCTAATGATATACATGTACAATATTGTGTCTCAATATCAGATCAATATATGTTCCTTTATGAAACTTTCAGATACAATGTATAGGGTACAGAATAATTTTTTTCATCATCATTTCCAAGCTTATTTAAGGAAAAAATTAAAACCCCATTAGTTTCATAAATTAAAAAACACAAGAAGTCTGTGAGCCAAAGTTTAAATTTAAGCAATGACCCCACTCTGATGTAAAAACCATATGTCCTCTTCAGTTTTGTAAATATTTTGGTTTGGCCAGATGCAGGGATGAACAAAACATTGACAACGTATTGGTTAAAAAAATGAAATCCATTATATTAGATAATTATGAAAAACAAACAGTATATTTATATATACTTCAAGCATCTGTAATATGTAAAAATGCTAAGTAAACTGTGACTGAGATTTGGTACAGACAGACACATGGATAAACAGTTAGGAGGTAAACATCTGATTTGTACAGTAATTAATCTCAACATATGACATGAACAAACAAAAACCGAATTAATTAAGTGCTAAAATTTCATTTAACATCTGGGAAAAAATTACTAACTGTGACATATTACTGAGAGACTGACAAACAGAGAGGTAAAACTGTTTAACTCGGGCCTTTCCTACTGAAGGTATAAAAAAAATAAGAAAAAACATGCTCAATTGATTTACACAGCTTCAATTGTCTCCCTTTACCCCCCCCCCACCCCTCCCTCATGAAATGTCATGATATGCCTTTTTTGACCATGTTTGAAAAATATTAGAAGCAAAATCTTATGAATATTCAGAGTAAGAGCAAAATATACTAGTATCTAAGTGTAGCCATTGTCAGACCCTCCTAACCCCCTTATAGCCCATACATTCCCAACCTTTTTAATCTTATACACAATCTAACAGGTGCTTGATAGCTTATGCACTTCTGTCAAGGAATCCTAGGTGCAAGTTAACTGAAAATTGATTTTCTATATAAATGCACATTTGATTGATATCTGCAAGACAAATTGCACTCAAGACAGTCGGTCCATTATCTACTTGGTAAATATACACTTGATAAATATCTTTTCAAAGTGTTTATTTTTTCAATTTTTTAAAGACCCCCACTTCAACATATGCATGAGTTTATTAAGCATTGCACTATGGTCTACATTACCTATCATTAAATGGCCAAGTGCCCTAGATGTATTCAATAAAAAGTTTACCCGAATTTTGCTTCTGGTGCTTATGAGTGTCTTAAATATACATATACTTTCATTTAACTCTCCTTAAACAAATACCAGAGAAGGATGTATTTAGAAATAGGGCCATGCTTTCACTGCCTTTCAGCAATGAAATTGTAAGGTACGTAGCTGAAAAGGATTTATATTTTGAAGAGGAACATCTATGTACTATTAAGGGATGTGTTGTTTGAGTATAAAAGGGGGAAAAAGTAACTATACTCTCTGAAAAAATTTTAAAATAAAAAAAACAACATTATGTGTTTGTGAATCACTATGCGCCTGGCAGCAACAAAGTTCAAAAAACCTATTATTAGCAGATAAGTTACAGTCAAGGTCACAAGGTCATTAACCTTGGTGTCATTTGAAGAACTTCATTAGTGGAGTGCAAACCAAAGATAAAGTCTCTATCTCTCATGGTTCAAAAGTTCTGGAGAAAAGTCTTTAAAAAAGCTATTTTTAGCATATAGGTCACAGTCAAGGTCACAAGGTAATGACCTTAGTTTCATTAGTGGAGTACACAAACCGAATATGAAGTCTCTATCTCTCATGGTTCAAAAGTAATGGCGAAAGTTCAAAAAAGCTATTTTTAGCATTCAGGTCACAGTCAAGGTCACAAGGTCATAGACTTTGGTGCATGCCATTTGAAAAAGCATCACTGGTGGAGTATGCATACTAAATATGAAGTCTCTATTTCTCAATGTTCAAAAATTATGGTGAAGGTTAAAGTTGACAACAAACAGACAGACAGATAAACAGACAAACAGACAGGACAAAAACAATATATGCCTGGGATCTATCAATCCGGGTTCATAAGAAGTATTTGTGTGATGAAAGGGTATACAAAAAAAATGGTGCAAAAATCATGAATACTCCATATATCCTCTATCAAAAAACAGCACAAAATTCACAAATGTTGCAAATTATATATATATAATATGCAACATTTGTGAATTTTGTGCTGTTTTTTTTTATCCTTTATGACAATTGTTGCACAAATTGTACCTATCAAAAATGGAAGGAACCCTAAGTCAGCTGGTAAAGTTTGAGGCTGAGTGGACTTACGGAAAAGAGATTATGCACTGTAATAAAGATTCTAATCAGAGAGGCTATTATGACTCTTGACCTAGAAACTTTGTTCAAGGTCACTGCACATCCATTGACAAGTGGCACTCTGTCAGTGAAGTATGATCCACGTTGAAGGGGAGAGAAGATATGGAGTTTTCATATAATTCTGCTATGACCTTTACCTTAACTCTAGAAACATACTTCAAGGTCATTGCACATGTTTTAACCAAAAACACTTTGTAATAAAGTAGTGAAAAAGTTTGGGCCAAGGTGAGACAAGATATGCTCCATTTTGCCACATGTATATGCTAAATAAGTAATTTAAAGAAAAACATAATCTACAATCCATATACCTAAAACAATGTACTTTCCATAGGCACAAACTTCCAATGTCTGATTTACAAATGGATTGATCACACAATGGTACACAAGTCTGTCAGGATAGCTACACTGGCTGGCAAAAGCTGAACAGTTCTTTCTTTGAGAAGCTTCATTCCATTTTGATTCACTGGTCGGACAGTTTGGAACAATTTCCATAGTTTGTCTTGACACTGGACAGGAATCACTGTTACATTTCACTACCTGTGAAAGAGGAAAAAAAGAATACATTAAATTCATTAGATAAAAAGGGATTTCATTTAAAATATTAAACCTTAAAATGAATAATCTATTAGTTTTTTTTTCTTTTAAGGCATAGGTTAAATCTTCATATACACTATAATTAATTACAGCAAGTGTAAATGTGCAGTGTTTATATTAAATTCTTCAAGGTGGTGAGAGGTGTGGAAATTGGGGTAAGAGGGTAAGAGACTGGGGTTGGGGGTATGGAAGGTTTGTACAATCATGTACATTCTGAAGATACTTATTTTACTTTCATCTTTCTAGATGCCATATATACAGAATTTTGTTTTAATAATTTATACTCTCAAATGAATTTGAAGAAAACATACCAAGGACATTCATACTTTTTCCTGCTAATTTTGATAGAAAAGAAATATAATAATATACATATAGAAATCTAAGTTAACAAAGCATGTATAGCAAGAATGAACATAAGTTTCAAATTTAAAAAAAATGAACAGAATGACAGCTAAATAAGTTACAACACCACTGTTTTATAACATATACCCCAGTAATTAAAAAAAAAAAATTATGTTTCAGTACACTTCTCAAGTTGAATTAACATGATTAACAATAATGTAGATATGCATATAGTGTTGATCGCAATTTAAACCCCAAACTTGATACTGCATGTTATCATTTTATATATCTGTATTAGGGCCATCCACTTCATAATCACACTTGGAAATGTTTCAAATTTTTTTTAAAAAATGTTGATATGCTTTAATGATTTCAATGACCTTAACATGTCCTTATTTTAATCTATATATACATTTAATTTTTACTGCAAGCAGGGGCCTCTTTAAGTGTTGAAGAAATTCAAAATGAAGATTTGTTTTTATATATATAGCCACATCTAAGATCTAAATTTTATCTTAGGCTATCAAAATAGAAAACAGTTGCACTCATGCAGTTATTATCGTTTGCATCTGACTGTAAAATTTCACGTTACGTCACTGTCTTTTTCATCAGATACCTCCAGCATAAACAATTCACGTGATTGGTCAACTTAAATTATCAACATTGACAAAGAAATAGTCTGTTGCATGAGCAACAAATCAGGGATAAGAAGAAAGTTCCAGTCGTAAAGCTTGCGGTTAGGAGGCGTGTACAATTTACCTTGAGTGCAGCTTTCAACTAGATCGTGACGTAACATGAAACTTTACAGTTAGCTGCAAACGATAATATGCATGCATTCTGTCCCAATTTTACCAAAAAATGATTTAATAAATCAAAATTGTAATTTTTGATATAAAATGTCTATAACTGAAGAAAAAGAAATGATTCAAGATTTAAATCAGCTCATTGACTCAGACAGACAGGTGACACTTACACTGTAGTATAATGATAGATACACAAACATAATGCTACTAGGAGACAAGAATTTTTTTTTTAATTTTCTTGGCTAGATATCAAATGTCAACCATCATGAACAAAGACATAAAGGATTTAACATGTTTAAGAGCTATACATATACTTTACTTATCAACATATATCAAAGAAATACAAAAGCTGGTTTTATTTCTGAAATGAATGCAACTGTCACAAGTACAATGTATTAAAGTGAATTTTAAATGTCAACCTATACAGCATATCAAATTCCGAGCCCTATTCAAAGAGGAGGTGTAAGTATATCAGTATATATAGAGTGCAACATACTCAAGATTGTCAACTTAAACAAGTATATGTACGGAAACTCTGCAGTTCCAGAATTTTTTATTAAGATTTAAATTATGTAATTTACACATATAAGGGTCAAATTGAACAAGATATTATGTAACAGTGTACATTTAAATTTTAAAAAAGAAATGCTGGTGCATGAATATATATACCATACAGAGAAAATGTCTGGACTTTCTGAGAAAAATGAAGAAAAAATTAAAATGATAAAATATACCTTCAGTATTAGAAGATTGATGATCAAGGCTTTTAATGACACTGCAATGATAAAATTTCTGATTGAATTATTTTGATAATTATACAATACTTGGTTAAATTTTAATTTAGGCCACCATTAAAAATATCTGTGTTTGATGGTGCACAAATTTCAATTAAGTTTGCAATGGGTCTTCTTTTTCATTATTTTTTTTTTTATTTTTTTTTTAAATAACAAAAATGCACAAACCCATAAATTAAAAAAAAAAAAAAATCAAATAAGAATCTTTTTTATTCAAGTCTTTTACCTCTCATATTTCTCAAATTAAACTATCTTTAAAAAAAATTATTAAGGTTTGTGCGTCATTAAAGTTTTTATATTTGATAAAGTGTGAAAACTTCTCAGCTATTCAATATACAAGAGGAATAAAGTAGGGCTAGTGAATTTTCTTTTAACAGGAAATACAAAACAACAAAGAATACATATTTCGAATACATGTAAATAAACCACTTTGTATTTAAGATGACCAGTACAAATGAAGGAAGAGCGTTTACTTACTAACACCCCACCAACCCCTAATTTTTTGTTTAAAAAAGAAAGTAGAATGCGTAACTATTTCTTATTTAATCAAGAAAAGCGTCACCAACTCTCTTCTGAATTATAGTTTATCTAAACTGCCAAATTAAAAACTGTCATTACATTTGACTTTAACTAAATTAGGCCCTTTCATTTTCCTCTTTTCAGAGTTTTCGTGATCGCTGATGGATCTGACATGGAACTTATCATCGAACTGCAGGTGCCATAACAGTATCATGGCTGACGCAAAATATTCGGGCATTTTGATACGAGACTGGAGCTGAATTTTTTTATGAGGTGAAAAACAACATGTAACCTTCCTGTATTGACCAGATTTATTAAAATTTAGGGCGTGCTGATTTTTTATATACTGTGAAAAGTAGTGAGTGATTAGGCCCTAGACTAGATTTTCAAGCACCTGCTCGACTTCGACCGAAACAAACTTGCGTGCCTTGCTGGATGGCTATATATTTTTTGGTACTAAAATCTTTGTAAAGAATGGTTTTACAAGATCTCAAAAGGAAACTTCTCAGAAATTTGTTTTGAATTAATTACTTCTACTGAAACTTGCGCATTTTTGGTAAGAATATATATAGCAGAAATTAATACTGTTGTGCTACCTAAAAGGTATTCCCTCAAATTATGACTCATTGTTTACCTGTTTCCTGGTCTGCCATTGGCCAACATATCCTTGAGTGTATGCTAAAAATAGAAAACTCAAAAAGAGTTAAATTTCTAAAATTAACCACAGATACATTATATTATGGGATTTTTTCAAAATCAGATTGATAATTAAAGATTAAGATTGCTTCACAAAAAAAAAAGATTTTCCTTCTGATTTAAATGCAGTATGCATGGAGAAATGCTTCAAAGAAAATTCAAGAGCAGACCCCGAAGGCCTTCTGACTAGCTGATTTACTGCATGGCGGATTTTAGAGGTACACGTACATGTAAGCACCACCTTTGAAATTTTTGGGGTGGGGGGGGTGTGCTGTACGTAGGCCTCTAACCAGACATCCCCCCCCTCACCCTCCCCACTCCGCCCTCAAGCTTACAACTTTTAAGATTTGTGCATGGATCCTCCACTGACTTGATTCCCGCCTATATTCCCACTTGATCATGGAAGCCTGTCCACTTCTCTAAAGAGAATACCCACCATGCTGCATTTGCATGCATGCGCGTGTCTTGGAAGGGGGGGGGGGGGGGGCGGTTACATACGTACGTAGTACGTAATCCATGTAAACATTCAAAATTGAAATTCCTGTTGTAAGGGGGGAAGTATTTACATGTACCTAAGGCTTGCTCCCGCTAAACCCCCTTCCATCCAAACAGGAAAGAAATGCGTAGCTCTCGTTTGGTATGTTTTTTTTCATCGTCGCAAACCATGGGTAAATATTGAGTCCGCAAGAGAGAATAGACGTGAATCACCCGTGGGTTACCGACAATGGTTTTCCTTGAGAATTTACGAGAATTTAATTTTGAAAGAGATGGACAGGCTCTTCTATACATTTTGTTCTTTTATTGCAATTATATATGGCAAGTGTGGGGTTGGATAGGGGTGAGGTGCATCGGGATTTCCCTTCAGCCCAGCTACAACCTAAGTCACCATTAATCATTTTAAAAACTATAGGTACTCTGAACACAAAGTATCTGATCAGATAGTAAAAGAGAAGGTGTACAATTATAATATGGCATTAGGTTTTACATTGCGCAAACCAAGGTCGAAACGAGAGAGAGAGAGAGAGAGAGAGGGGTGGGGGGGTGGGGGATGCAAACCCCGAACCGTGGCTTGAGACGATGTATATAATTAAGAATCTGAGAATTTTTATTCAGTGGTATAGGAGGAGTTGCAGATGAGGGATGCATGAGTACTCCAAAGCGTAACAGATGGACGAACGCACAGACATATGGATGCACGTTAAGCTAGACGGACGGGCATCCCGATCACTATAATTTTAGTTTATCCCATGTAAAATATTATCCCGTGGATATAAGACTCATTCAGATTGGATTATTTTTCATATGTACCCTTATTGTTTGCTTTTCAAAGGTGGGGAAGGTGGTTATAAAAAGTATGTTTCATATAAGAAAAAAATGTGATATATGTGTAATATGTGTAAAACGCCGAAAATTTCTTTAATGAACATAATGATGAATAGCTTATGAAATTCCCATAGAAGTCCATCTGTACAGACTAGACTAACCCCACCTCTACCCTACCTAGATCAGTAGAGAGTTTTTTTTTTTAATTCTTACAGTAGTGTACATGATCATGTACATTAATACATGAAATGAAAATGACCTGTTATTGAGCTGAAAGAAACTGCGTACATGTATATATCATAAACTTTGAAGAATTACCCGTTATATTTATGAAAATTTACGCCACAAAGGGAGGGAATATTGCTTTGCTGCTGTCGGTCAGTCTGTCTGCAGCTGTCTATCTACCAAGTTTCCGTTCATTTTCTTCACAATCGTTGCACATACTGACAAGAAATTTAGTTTACGGATTTATCATAGGGATATCAAGTTTATCTCTTTTGGATAAGATCGAGCTACATGTAATTTGGACAGAGTTATGCCCCTTGGACTTAAAAGCATTCCAATAGACCTATTTGCAGATTTTCTTTGCAAAGGTTGCACATATTGATTATGAAATTTGATATACAGATTTTTCATATGAAAACCTAGGTCAAGTTCTCTTTTGGGTACTTTCGGCAATTTTAGACAGAGTCATTCCCCTTGGATTTGAAAAACATTCCAATTATTTGGGAGAGGGGGCATATTAAATGTTTTCCAAGCATCTCTTGTTTGTTCTCTGTTTACGAATCATTATACTCAAACAAAAAGGAATTTATTACGATAAAGATTGAAAACTTTTCATTTTCTTTTCAATCTTTCTTGACAAGTAATGGAATGCATATTTTATAATTCTCCATTACCCCATTGTTCCATACACATTTCATTTGTATGTGGAGAAAATGAATGGTCCAAATTTCACGTAATATAATATGAACAAGATACCCGTGGAACACATTTGAATGATTTTTTATGTCATTCTCTTTTTCTGTGAATTTTTTATTTGTTCCTCTTTTTTTTTTAAGAAAAAAAAATATTTTCGAAAAAATTATAACGAATTTTTTAAAACGTCCCCGCTTGGGAATGTAAAACAAACGATTACTCTACCTGGTTCACCCTCTACCTTGGCCTACAACACTTGAAGTGGTAAGGATTAAATCGACCTATCACAGCGACCTTATATAATGATAATCAGATAGATATTATCTTTTTTCTACTGACAGATGTTTGAATTATCCGATTCCATTTAAATTTTAAATCATTTTATAAGAAACGTTAATATTTCCATGTCTGGATTTAAATACATACATCATACATTTAAATCTGTCATGTTGCATTTTGTGTTTTAAATCATTCAACGTCTACACATGGATATAAAATCCCATTAAAGTCATTGCACGCTTTACTTTCAACAAAATGACAAATAAAGACATGTTCGTACATACATATCTTGGATCATAATGTACTTATAGATGGTCCCTTTATAATGTTCGCGATGCATGTACTATGTAGTCTGTCATAACATATACAAAAAGAGGGCAAATTGAATGTATTTTTATATATTAACTTTAAAATTTGAGATTTTCCATCGACCCTGGTTGTCCTGAAATTCAAGTACATTAGTTCATAAGATCATTATGCGATCAATTTGTAGCGTGTATTTGTTTTACTGTCACTGCTGCAAAATTTCTACCCATTATGATTAATTTTCCTTTTGTTAAATTTGTCTATCTGTTACAGGTACATAATGAGCTCATGAAAAAAAAACACTTCACCATTTTATACTTTCAAGGATATATCTTCCAACACGACGCCTTCAGTGAAAATTTTATATTTTTTTTAAATTTAAGATTTAATTGTGACCTTTTTACCGAATAATGTGTTTATATTGACTGACTAAATTTTATGCCTCCGAAATCGAAATCTTGAGGACAAAAAGCTTTTTTACTTTTGCCCTGTCAATCTATCTGTCTGTCTGTTGGCAAAAAAATTAAATCGGCTGTGAAGAAATTTTGATTAAATGGAGCTATGGCTTTCATGTTTCATATCTATTGATTGATTGTTTATTGTTTAACGTCCCATTCAAGAATTTTTTTTTTCGTTCATATACATGTACATGTAGCAAGAAAGTTATTTCTCGAAAAAGACCTTTTTTGGGTAAAAGCATTTATGACCGCTGGATTTGGAAATTGACTTGTAATGGAGAAACTTTAGCCTTCATTATATCCTACCACACGGGTCGCCAGTGTATATTATACGTAAACTCAACTTTTTTTTTGTTAGATATTGCCTGATAAAATATCAAAAAAGTGAAAAGATATGAAATACTCAATAGCAACAGTATTGAAAGCCCTATCCCCGGTTTGATATCCAAATATGTCAAGTTCGCGGACTAGCTGTATAGTTGTGTACTATCACCACTGTGGGTGAACAAAAATGGAGATCACAGTCCCATTGGTAAAATACCCACTTTTAAACTTCGGTCAATAATCACAGAGCTTGCAATCAACAAAGATTTAGACCGACTACGGAATCTGAATCTTTCGATATTGTCCTATCTATAAAAGCCAAAAATCATGTTACAGAATACATGTACAGGTAATTATAGTTTCTGGTTATCATTTTCGGAAGTATTTTTGTAAGTTAAATTTATTTTATCTTAACATACTGCACTTAGAATTTGCAATGCATGAAAGCGTAAAAAATTCTGACACGGCACAGTTGTATAATACGAACATAATATAGTAATATAAAAAAAAAGTACACTGGCAAAATGAAATGAAGAAGTGTCCCAACATCATGTCATTTTGGAGTATTTTGAATACTTGTCATGGCTGTAGAAAATTAGCTGCAGAACTGTAGCTCTCCGAAAAAATATATTGATAGACCGGAGAGCTACATTGCCACCCATTGAAAAAACTGTATATTGATTGCGCACACAAAATTGCTTCAGCCCCCTTCCTACTATATAGCATAAACGGCCAAACAGCTCAAGAACAAGTTAAGACCCAGTTACCAATGTTACAATTTTCAGGATTAATCTGACAAAAATCTAATGCAAATACCTAAGTAAAAGTATATTGATGCTCTATATGTACCCTCCCCCAACTCCCACCAAGACAAAAACGCACAAACATAATTTTCGTTTGCAGGCTGATTTTTTCTAATAATTGGTGCCATTCAAACACCCAGAAGCCTCGGAGGAGGAAAATATGATTTGCATTGACCTTTTTATGGTCAAATCCTAAGACTCATTATCTTTATTTTATCTTAAGTATCAGTGTTTTCAAATTATGGTAGAACAGCCTGTGCAATGTTAAACGTTGTGTTAAAGGGAGGCAAAGCGACCGATATAAACTATTTGAAGCTTACACATTTTAGTTGCTTGTTAGTCAATACCATATTCCATGAGGGTTTTTTTTGTCCAAATACATCTTGCGGGACATATAAACAATAGCCAGAAAAAATATGACTTTATCTAGAAAAAGAAAGTTTTGATGGCTCCAAAGAGATATCTTTTCAGTCATTTATGCTAGAAATCAGAGGATAAATATCAAATATGGAGCTAAGGAACAGTATTCAACCTCTTGGTCAGAAGTCCACTAAAAAATACAAAATAGGAGCAGAACAAACAAGGATCTCAAAAACATAAGATGTGGGATCAGGAGCCATAGAGGAGTGGGCATCCGCTGTGGACTGGTCACACAAGCTGTGAGCTCCTTGTCATGATCAGTGAATAACGGGGAATCTCTCGAAAATTTAGCGTGTAAATAATGGCTGCACAATTTGTGAGTCAGAATTTGACTTAATGATAAATTGTTTTGCCTCACAAGGTCATTGTCTCCTACGTACATGTTAGCTGGTTGGTGCCAGTCAGAGAAATATTTTATCGAACGACCGCCAACTAATATGTGGCGGTTGCCACAAACTTTCCTTCGGCAGCCAAAAAATTCTTTTCGGCCGCCAGAAATATATTTTGGGGCCATCGTTTAACTTTCTGGCGGCCGTCGGGTCTATATATCAATACATTTCACTTCTTTCAAATTAATACGTTTAATTTTTGCTACATGTAGCACAGTGGTTCTTGAGCATCTTGAGAAAAAGACATAAAAATGATGCCATTAATTTTTCACAAAACTGTCTCTGCCATCCCATGAAAGAAGGTGTGACAAATAATTTGAAGAAATTTTAATTTCCTTTCCCTATAAATAAGATTACATTAAAAGAAAATGTGAAAAGTTTATACAACGTTGAAAAGATTACGACAAAGACAGTTGACGGACAAATTTAGATCTGAAAAGCCCACTTTAGCCCTCAGCTCAGGTACTAGGCTACATGTAGAGATATTGACAAAGTCAAATTAGAATTATGATCAGATAATCTAGTTGATACAGATGCAACTCATACCAGAAATTCGAAAGGGTTTTTTCACTCAGTTTCACAGACTGGACAAGAATACATTACAGGAAATATTTGCAAAACATATTTGTTTTTGTTAACTCATTGTACCACTTCCTCTAAAAGCACTTAAAATTGATTATATTCTCTGAAATATTTGTAATTTGCACGTACATTTTAAAGGCATCGGTCAAGTTATACTTTTGCTATGGTTCTCACCATAAAATATGTTTTAATCTTTATTGTTATAGATGTGTATCAATCTGTTCAATCTAAACGAGAATGTTTGGGCCGCAGGTAAGTACGTTACAAAATGTTTAAAGGTGCAATGACAAAGCTTTGAACATGTTGAAGTTAATATTTTCTGTAATTATCACGATTTTTGTATTTTAGTAGCATTTCACACAGAAATATGTTGAAAATATTATTTTATCTAAAAGTTGTTAAAACCTCAAATTTTTAGACGGGTTTGAGTGACACATCCTTTCACTTTCATAAATTTTAATTTTATTCTTGATACATAGGAAAAATGGCAATCTTGTGTAATAATTTTGAAAACTGTCGAAGTTAGGCGTTAAAAAGCCTACAATATAAGGTGTTCGAAGTAGAAATCTACATTATTTAGAAAGGGTCACATACCTGGTTCTGAAACTTCATTGATAGGTTTTAATGGTCAGTGAGAACTTGAACAATATATATCATATTCTACCACGGTTATTGAAAACTTCAAAGGAAGCCGGGGGACATTATTCTCCAATAAATCACGAACGTCATCAAAAAATTATAAGATCAGAAACGCGTATCAAATCTGAACAAATCAAATGCAAGTTTGGCTGTAGATTGAAATTACTTGTTTAGACCGCATCGATGTGTCGTCTTTTGCAGTGTAAACACTGTAAATTGCATCAAGTTGCTGATGAATGTCGGTTTTATAGCTTAGCAGGGCTATTCCGTGGACCTCCCTACTCATTAAACAACGCAATTTTAGCAGTAAAGCAAGAACATGATTTTGTTATTGTATATTCATTTTAACTGATCAATACATATAACGAACAAATTTGTTATTTAAAAAGCCTTTTTTTGATGCAACGAAAGCTCAAATCGTCTGCATTCCATATATAGGTAAGTCAACAAAATTTTTCTCTGGTGTTAAATAGAACAGCGTAATCGAGACATTGTGACCTAATTCGTTTCTCTATAGAGGAAACAATCGGCCGTACAGTGTATTTATCGCCCTTGGTAGAATAGAAATAAAGTCCTTGTTGTCGTGAATGATGCAGAATAACCTCCTCGGTCTCGAAATGTTGTTTCAAATATAAAAGCCTCGGCTTTTATCTTTCAAACAACATTTCTCGACCTCGGAGGTTATTCTGCAACATTCACAAGAACGCGGACTTTATTTCTTAAATAGAGTATATCAAATGGATTTTGTATGAAAGTTTAGCAGCACGAACATTTTCCAAGGAAATAGATGTAATTGCTTTGAAGGATGTTACTAAAGGCGGAATGGTTGTGATCTAGGCGGAATAGAAGAAATTATTGAATTTTAAGGTTGATTAAAAATTTAAATTCAATTTGTTCTTCACTTAAAAAAAAACAAATCATGTTTTTGAAATCCTCTATCTTCTCTCAGTTCCAGCAGTGAATATCAACCACTAGTTCTCCAAAAGCGTTGTACACCATTATAAAGTTCACAAAGTTCCCAACATTGTTGGACACAATTATAAATATACTTCTTAATTCAAAATAAAAAAATGTACTACCTTTTCTAGTACAAAACAATAATCGTGATCAGGCATTTCAAAATTATTCAGTAGAGAAAATGATTACAAATTGAAAAACTACCTTACATGGTCAAAGAAGTATAATTTAACATTTTACAATCCCTTTTACATCATTTTATCAGTCTTTCCTGTGTTACACTCGCATAATTTATATACATGTATTGCAATACATTGTAAATAAGTGTTCTTTTGGTGACCTCCTGAACTTTTTTCCACAAAGAAAAGAAATCAAAGAAAAAAAAACAAACAAAATAATGTGTGCTTTATATTTGCAGGGGTTGTTGTGATGGATATCAATTTGATAAAGATCTCCAGAAGTGTACAAGTAAGTCAATGTATTTGAATTTTGTTTTACATTTCTTTAACTCATACCACACTTTAAAATATATTCAATTAAAACTGAGATAATTCATATCTATTCTCGAGCCTTTTAGATGTGTAAATTTCCTTATCATGAAACTATTGTACTTCAGTTCATTTTTTATTTTAATTTGTATTAACTAAAGTATACAATAGAAGGTGTCAACAAGTCCAATATCAGCTTGACCTCTGAATGGTTATATCCCAGAAGGATCACGAACTATTTCTATATAACCTGGTTTGGTAAGGGAACGCCGTTTTATGAACTGCTCTGTGGAATATAAAACTTAATTAAATCAAGCCAGATAATACTCGAATAATATGGTCAAGTGATAGAATCATTCCAAAAAAAAGTTTTATGAGAAAATAGACAAAACATAACAGTTACATGTACATTCACTAGCTTCCAATACCAATCATAAATATTGCCGTTGGAATAATACCATGTTTTAATCGACAATATCTTCTTGGAAATGACATTCCTTGAAGAGAGTGGAACCTTTAATGTATCTCAAATAGGAAACAGGTTCTCATAAAATACTTTCAGTAAATGTTGACTTTAGTATTTTGTACAGGTAATTTGTTTCATGTTACATATATCAGTCCAGTCCAATACGAAAATTCGTAATTTTACGAAAAAACGTAAGATTACGAGAAAGCGTAATATTACAAGTTATCGTAATATAAAACTTATATTACGATTTTTCGTAATATAGTTAAATTACGAATATGCGTAATATAGCAGATGTAAGAGACTATATTACGAGTTTTCGTAATCCAATACAAATTCAAGCATTGCAAAAAATTGAGTGGCGGGTAGCAAAGTATGGTGTTTAATACGAGATATCACGGGTGATAACTTGTATGACGCTTACTGAGATTTGAAATTCTGTGTGTTTTAATAAGAATTGCACGAACAGTTGAATTATGAAACGAGGGTGTGATTTTTAGGGTAGACTTCGGAAGAAAAGTAGGGAGTTTGGGTGATATAGACCAATGCTAATTGCTTGAGCGAATATTGAAATTTACTGGAAAATTGGTCTTATCCGTGGGAAAATTTCTGTAAAAGAATAATAAAAGAAATTGTCCACTCACCCATTGCTGGCGATACTTTCTTCTTGAATTTCCATGCTTTCTGATAGGTGTAACTGACCAATCTGACCGCATGATATCATTAGCCGTGGAATCTGATATATTACTGACGTCATACTTTGCTACCCACCACTCAATTTCTTGCAATGCTTGAATTTGTCTTGGATTACGAAAACTCGTAATATAGTTTTTTACAGTCTACTATATTACGCGTATTCGTAATTTAACTACATTACGAAAAATCGTAATATAAGTTTTATATTACGAAAAACTTATAATATTACGAATATTCGTATTGGACTGGACTGTATATGTTCTAAAATTGTTTTTCATCTAGAGAATTTTTCACTCATATGTGGACTCTACTACTTGCGGGTGGAGAGCTGCAAATTTGACCTATGCTCGGCACTCAGTGCTATTGAGCAGTGAGGGATTTTTTTCTTGCTACCACCTATATGCTTCATCTGAAGGACCGGGTAATGTTTCGTACCTGTACATATATATTAAAAACGCGAAACTAAACGTAGAAATACATGTAAGGGATCAGAGATTTACATTGAAATATACAGGAATGGTCTTTAAAAATCTTCCTCTGAAGAACAACTGTGCCAGAAAAGTTTAAACTTATGTGGAAGCTTCTTAATGAAGTGTAGAATCTAAGTGTTTAAAGGTGAATGATGAGGCCACACCACAGTAAGTATTACTAGGATGAAAATCTGGTGAAGATCCGAAACGCTATTTAAGTTATTCCGGTGATCTTTGTGGCCCACAAACCCCTTGTTTGTCCTTTTCTTCACTTTCCTGTATTGATATAGGACATTATTTAACTTTTACACAGAAATAGAATTTCAGTACGAAATTATTGAAATAACCTCTTTTTGAGTTACTTGGTTCAAAACCTTCAACTTCTTTTTCAAAGGATGTCCAGACGGCTTTGTTGGTGCGATGTGTGCGTCACCCTGTCCTTATCCTGGATATGGATTTAAATGCAATTTAGATTGCAACTGTACAAAAGAATTCTGTAATGTAACAAGGGGATGTCCATGGAATTGCACAAATATTTTGAATTGTTCAAGTATTGCAAAAGGTAATAGGGAGTTTTGAGAAAATATATCACATCATTGTTTTCAAAATTATATGATAAATATTCCCGTCAGTAAACGATAAAATTATTTAAATGTATGGCAAATATATTTGTCTTCTCATTTGCAGTTCAGTTCAAAATTCAAATTAAATTTATTGGTTTATGATCATGATGTAAGTATAAGGGTCATTTTCGAATGAACAATTAAATAAACATCATTGATTCAAAGGATATTAATGTTGTGCTGTTACAATATCAACATAAATGCATTCAATTCTATTGTTTATATACGTGTAGACTCCATGTTTGTACATTAATAATCAAATAATAATCATCTTTTTTGGGATAAAAATGTCCAAGTCAATAAGAAATTCAATTATTATCCAAAATACACGTAGACTGTTATTCACAATTTTTAAAAATGATTTTGATTGATTGATTGATTGTATTCTGTCATAAGTCCCATTCGAGAATTTTCAGTCATATAGAGATTTCATCATATACTGGTGAAGTGAAGGGGTTCAAAGTTTAGAACTTTACTAGGCACTCAGTATCATTGAGCATTGAGGTATCTTTATTGTGCAAACGCCTGCTGTTACCCGGGACTCGGTTTTTATGGTGTTATTGACAAATGACAAACCAGGCTAATGACAAATGTAACTATTGCTACACTCCATTTTTAACGACATAGGTCAGTCACGGCTGAGATTTGTAAATGATTTTCCTTCTGATGATATCATTTGAAAAAGGTGTATGTGTTTGATTTGCTTTTCCCCTATATTAATTAGTTTTCAAATATTCTGCTAAAATCCTGCTTATATCAGTCATTCTAGATTGCTTATTTTCTGTATTGTATCCATCCATTTTTGTACGTATAATATCTGATAAGTAACAATCAACAACATTTCCTGTTAACCAGGACAGTGCAATTAAATTTTACCCAAAATATCTGAAGTTGATTATGCTGAATTGTATAAACAAACTAAACGACTTCACTAGTATGATAGTGAACAGCTGGATCCAATTCCCGACAAACAAGTTCATTTCCTCCATTTATGAGTGTAAGCTACAAAGTTAGTGACATCATCTATTTAAAAAAAAAAAAGACATACTTTTGTTTACACATTTGTTAATTATTATTTTTATTTAAACGCACGCTAAAACATTATAGTAGATCCAAATTAATATTTTTTGAATTTCCGTCCGATGTTTCTTGTTTCTTTTAATGTAAAAGATTGATATGCCGGACAAAGATAACTCTTCCTATTACGAATCGTATATTTAGCTCTACAGTGCCACTTGTATTAATAGGTCTTTTTTCGAGAAAGTATCCTGCCATATTAGAGTACAATAAAGATATATACATATATACTGTATTATCCATAGTGCATGAAAGGTTTTTCGATTTTAAATTTAAACTGAAGCAATTTGGTCAATATTCTTTTATGTAAATATTTATGAATATAGAAACAAGAACATAGATCAAAACAAAGTAAAAGAATGTATTCTTTAAATTGCATTACCAGTGGAGAAAACTCCACAACCATTAGAAACGTCACACATATTTCTCTCAAATTTACGGTGTTATTATTATTATTATTATTCTACTTTTATATAGCACCGTATATAATTATGGAATTACCCTAAAGCGCTTTACACGTAGAAAACAATTACAATATGAAACAAAGGACGGGTACAATATAAAAAAGCAAAAAGGTAAAATAAAATCATAGGGCATTCTGATTGACATCCGACTCCATATGAAGGATAAGGGCATGGCTTACTGCAATTTTCTCCACTGTATCCAGATAAACATGCTGAAAAATCAAACTTGTTTTGGTTTGATTAATATATGGACGTATGTTCTGACGGAATGCATGTAGATATTATTTATTTGGTGCAATGTTGTAAAATGTGTGTATGATCATGATATTATCTTTTTTAAATTCAAACTCCCAAACAATGTGTGCATTTGTAACATATGAAATATACTTCACTCGACAATTACAATATGTGATTGAAACATTTTACTAACTGTAAGAAACATGCATATGTAAAGCGGAAATTGAGATATGATCCTACATGTATTTTAAAAACAAATGATATATTTTGTATAGTTCTCCTGCTTTTTTTTAGGCTTACGCTCGCATTTTTCATTTTCAGCATTCCACTTGAAATCTGCACAACAGTATTTGAAGCCTCTATAAATACATACATGTATATCTTTTAAGTGAAACTCTTATGCGTTTACTTCAGAAACATTTTTACATTTAAAAGATTTGATTTCAGATTTAAATAACTGATTTTCAAAAAAAAAAAAAATTATAAACTTACCTTTCACATCTAGGAGTTTCCGTTGGAGAGAGTAAAGCGAGTTTACCGGTACTGAACAAGACGTATATGTTCATGATAAACATTGACTTATTCTCCATCCAGAGAATGCGAACAATATCAATGCCAATAAATGTCCAAATTAAGATGCATCAAATTGGTACATTTTTGCTAATGTTATTTTTTTCCTCGTTCCGCGTACGCTTCATCATAATTAATGAGATCAAATTTGACGGACGTTATATACGACACACACGCATTGATATATCTTAGTATCTAAATAAATCATAATGATTTGAAAATGAATACACATGAGCGCTGAATTACCCCCCCCCCCCGGTCATATTGCTTACTTTAGCAATGTGGCGAAACAAAAAAAAACCCTGAAACTAGTTAATTATTGAAAATTTTAAGCCCAAAATTGATCTCAACCAATCCTTTAAGGAGGAGGGTATGATTTGAACAACCTGAATCTACATGAACTAAGGATGCTTGCATATTTTTGTGACTACCTGTGGCTGTAATTTCCCTTTATATTTCTATGCAAATTTTGGATTTCCTGTTGTAGCCCCGCCCTGGCCCAGCATGATTTGAACAAACTTGAATCCACACTACCCGGACATGCAATACATATGATCATTCATGCCTTTGTTATTCTTGAAAGGAAGATTTTTAAAAAAAATCCCTAGTATACATTTCTATTAAAAACTTTGATCGGCTATCGTGGCCCCTCTCTACCCCTGGTGGTCATGATTTGAACATAAATCTACACACCCTGGTGAAGCTTCCCTATGAATTCCATCTTTTCTTGCAAAGTAGGTTCTCAAGAAAAGTGGTTCTTGAGAAGAAAATTTTTAAAGAATTTTCCTAAATATTTCTCTGTAAAACTAAAAACGGAGATTGTTGCCCCGCCCTACCTACGGAGCTTATGATTTGAAAAAACTTGAATGTAGGATGCTTCCCTTTAAATTTCATCTTTCTTGGCACAGTAGTTCTTGAGAAGGATATTCTTAAATCATACCACCAAATGTTTGCCCATTGATTAAGGGAGTGGCCCATCAATTGAAGAAATGTGAATCCACATCACCCAAGGATACTTTGTGCTAAGTTTGGTTGAAATTGGCATCGTGGTTTTAGAGAAGATCAAAAATGTTTACAGTTTACAGACAGACAGACGGACGGACGCTGGAAAAAATTTGATCGGAAAAGCTCCCTTGAGCTTTCAGCTCAGGTTAGCTCACAAAAGGCCCATGGGCCACATTGCACACCTGAGCACATTGGCTAAGGAATAAAAGCAGAAATCCCTTCACTATTGAGACGTTTAGCTGGGGGATTTTAAACAACCAAATACATGTACTTGGTGATGCTTCCAAACAATAAATGCCTTTGCTGTTTATGAGCAGATAATTTTTGCTAAATTGTGCTAAAGGTGAAATATTAACTTTAGAAAAGTATACCAAGCCAGGTGAATTTTCTGAGGAAAACAAAATGATAAAATTAAGTCCATATGATGTTGCTGAATTCTTGTCAATTTGTTTTTCCTCATAAAATTCACCTGGCTTGGTATATTTTCTAAAGTTTCATCTTTCCTGGCCAAGTGGTTCTGGAAAAAAAAGATTTTCCTATGTTAAACTTTGATCAGCCGTTGTGGCCCCGCCCTACCCCGGGGGGTCATTAGTTTTACAAACCGGCATCCAATCTATTTTATGATGCTTCTATATGAGTTTCATCTTTCCTGACCCAGTGGTTCTGGAAAAGAAGATTTTTTAAAGTTATTCTTATATATTCTGATGTAAAAATTTGATCAGCCATTGTGACCCTTCCCAACCCACGGTGTCATGATTTGATTAGAATATTGTCGACATGATAAATAGAAATAGTATTTTAGACCAATCAAGAACAGTTGAAGAGAAGAAAAAATATCAGTAATAGAATCCATATTTCTCATTTACTACATTGTGTTTTTATATAAGCAAGTTCGAAGCTATATCTGCATCAAAAAACAGATTTTAGAAATCAAGGAAGGACACAATATTTGAACAGTAAGTATTATTATTTAAAGTTAAATTTAGAGACACGTGACTATTGTCACTCAACTGAGTAAATATCCATGCATGACAGATGTTTTTTTTTTCAGTGTTGTAATCTATCTCAGGAAGCTAGTTTGAGTTTTATAAATTGTGGGTCAATCTACCATTAACATGTTTCCTGCTATGACATACATTTTGTTAAAAAAAAATCTTTAAAAGTCTAGATTCAATATATAAAATATTCAAGGGCATTAATTTGTTAATCACACAAGCTGTAAACAATTATGGAAAAAAAGGGATTCCGAATTAGAAGACATTTGATTTGTTTTTTTTAAATGTTAAGTCAATAAACATTAAAGTCAGTCATTTTCTGATAAATTGGTTTTTTTGTCAGGGATTGGGGGGGGGGTGTTATGGGAGGGTTTAAAATTCACAGGTTTTTGGGTCTTGCTTTAAAGCAATATATGTACCTTATCGATCTGCAAAACTCTGCTCCCCCTCGATGAGTATGCAGAGTATTTGAAACAGAAGACTGTATTTAGAAAAAGAAAATACTGAAATATATTGCTTAAAGCACAGAGTTTTACAACTTTAATTGTTTTAAACAATACCTTGTTCGCTAGTTATCTCTTTTATTGTAAGCAAGATAACTACAAAGTACAAACTGTACCTCGGAGTCGTTGCCACGTTCTCATAAAAGCAAATTTTACCGATAAAAAAGAAAAACATACATGCACTACGTAAACAAATTTATATGTAAAATTCTTTCGATGTATTAATATGTATTCACAATTTACAGTTTTATCAATAATAAATCATTATTTCAATGACCATTTTAAACACATAAAAAATTATGTTCATGCAGCTTTGTTTCCTTTTTTCTTTTAAACTTCACGCTTGATGCAATATGATGTTCTAGAAAATCAATGACCAAAATACAAGTCACTTGAATTTATTTTAAACATCTTCTTTGTTTCAGGAAGAAGATATTCTTGTCAGTGATGTATCTGAAACGAAAAAAAATACAATCAAAGATAGCGGTGCTCACTTAAAATTATGTTATTTAAATGTAAAGCAAAAATTCAGTCCAAATGAAATGAACATTTTCAAAGGGTGTAGATGTTTTTATGTAGCTACTTTTAATTGGACCTTCCCTAAAAACTTAAACTTGGTCACTTATCCATACAAGAAATTAATCAAACTTGATAATTCTCTATTCCATGACGTTCTGAGACTTTGAACACTTTTTGAATACTTTTTCAGATCTGGTCTACACGTGTGTGACAAAAAGATTGCATTCAGGAAGACGTAAAAAACTTCCATTGCCTGTCTAATAAGTCGCTTGGGAAAAGATCAATGAATTAATTTTTTAAAAAATACCTAAATGGGTACTGATATTAGAGATCCTATCATCCGCAGTATTTTAGTAAAATGAAGGGACGGCGAAAACATGAAAGTGTATTTGATTTGAGTGTTATATTGATTGCCTAATATATCTTACAAATACTTGTATTCTTTTTACACGACTTTGTATAAGTCCATGCACTATATCTCAATTTTCTAGATAGGTCTAATTCCAAGTTGTTTACCGTTAGAACTATATGATTATTATATTTTTTTTTACATAAGAATTAAATGGCACCGGTCTCTTTTTTTTCAGAGATCAGAAGCTGCTCTTCTGCAATTAATCTTATTGGATCACCATGTATGTAGTTTATAATTTGTTGGAAAGAATGAAAAATAAAAATATATTTAAAAAATACCTTCCTCAGCATTACTTTGTCTGTAAGATGAAGATCGATGACGACTTACTGCAATTACCACAGCGATCAAAACCAACACAACCAGAAGGATAATGACTCCAATAACAAATGCACCATCAAAATTATTTAACTGCATGTGTTGCACATCTTCCCTTTAAAATCAGATTTGAAAAACTGTCACTGAATGGATAGATTTCACAACTGTCTCATTTATATTATATCACAAGAAAACATTGATGTAATCATCAATTGTCGCCCGAGAAATAAATAAAAGAAACAATGGAAATGATTCTTGATCATCAAACCGCGTCGATATGTGTGAAAGACATGCGTCTAAATGATGCAGACGATATTCGAGAAAATTTTGAAAACTTATAGTAGGATGAAAATCGAACATAAACGATCTTCTTTTCAACTTTATCAAATCCTTAAGTAAATGTTGGCTGCATTAATATGATTGAAGCCAGACACCTGCATCAGTTATATATTAAAAA